AGACGCGCACTAGAGGCGGTTTAGCCAATCACAACACACTGGGCTAGCTAATCAATCAGAGCCCATCGCCTATTTCTGAGGGAGGGACTTCATAAAAGCAGGAATTGATCAGCATGTTTCTCAAAGAAGGGACAGAGCCGTGTGGAATAAAGGTAAATTATGTGAAAAAGAATGCGTTTTTTTTTTAAACGAAGCATTAACACATGTTAGACTGCACCCCATAAACACAATCAAGCCTAGAAAAAACCCAGTGAACCACCCCTTTAAAAATGGTGTTAGAGTTGGTAGGTTTGAATCATTGAACTGATTCATTAGTTCAAGACATTGCTTCAGTCTTTTGTTTGCATAATCAGCAATACAAAACTTTTAAATGTTGCTGTTTATTACAGTATTAAGAAATTTTTATTAAATATAATTTATGTAAAAAGTGAGGAAAACATTTTGTGATTATTGATCGATTTATATTTACATTTATTTATTTGTTTATTTATTAGATTTTACTGTATTTAGTTTCTTACATTAAAAATTTAAATTTGTTTTGCTACAGTGTTTAGCTTGGTTAAAATTGTTTTTACCCCCCTGTAATTATATAGAATTAATTTAATTACAGTATTGTGAAAAGGCTGTAAATGTTGCTTTTGATGGATCATATACAGTACTTATAAATACATTTATATATTATATATTTTTTAATATATAGATATTTTATTATTCCATTTTGAGTTTGTGTCTCAGATCTTTTGCTTCTGCATATTGTTAGATTCAGTGTCTTTATTGAATCTTTTTTATGTTGCATCACTTTTGGTTACAACACAAGCAGGTTTTTGGCAGAATTGACGTCAAACCTGACATGCTATATTTGAATGCATGTAAATAAACGATTTAAATGTTGGTCTTTTCCCCACATAAACAGCTCTGAAGAGTTTCTAAATTATGATATCAATATTTATATTTATTGAATATGCAGTTACCCGTAGATAATTTAAAGGTCCCATATTGTCAAAACTGAAATTTCCTGTCTTTTTTCCATGATAACTGAGGTCTAGCTGCTATGTAACTACCATATAAGTTTCACATCTGCGCTGGTTTGAATGGGCTGCTTCCAGCTAGCGCTGTGACGTCGGCTGACCCTAGTTAGCTGTGGTTGGCCTGGCCGTGCGTCACTCAGAAAACAACAGGCCAGTCAGAAGAGAGGCTCATGAATATTAATTAGACAGGCCAAAATCGACCTGTTCTCAGCAGAGCTCCTGAGAAAGGAGCTGTAAAAATATATTGAGATGGTTTTTGGTACTTATACCGCAAATATATATTCTTAAGGACATCAAAACCTAAAATAAAACTCCAGAAAGGTGTAAAATATGGGACCTTTAAAGTGCAGTCTCCTCATTTGCCAAGCCTTTTGCCAAGTCTTTCTTTAGCATGCTAATGTCTAGTTAAACTTGCATATATATCCAATTAGGTTTTGAATGGCTTGAGATCTTCCAGGTCATTCAGTCACATCAGTTGCAAGGGAAGTTCAGTTTCAGATTTACAGAGTGTACAAAAGACCTTAGTGTGACGATTACCCAAGGGGGCTAAAACGAGACTCTATTAGATTAGAATAAATGAATAATATTTCCATAATTCGCTGTGTGTTGAAGGTTTACTGGCTGAGCTCTTGATTGAGCACTTGAGTTGGCCCACTGTTCTGTGGTTTCTCATAAACCTCTGAATTCATGCAGAACTCTCTCATGTCTTATTATGGTTTTATTATAAATCAGAATCTTCAAAGTCATTCATTTTCAGCAGGAGTATATTAGTTACTTTTGAAAACATTCCCTTTTGTCATAGAATATTTAGTTCTATACTAATTTGCACCATATTAAAGTGAAGTGCCATGTATTTTTCACTGTCACTGTCCCTGCAGGGACTTGTTTTTATGTGGGGGCCTTTATTACATTTATTTATTTATTTATTTAATTACCATTTTATTCCCAGTGCAGGTGCAACCGCATTAATTTAGTCCCACCGGTTGCCTCCTGTCAGTTCTGCTAAATGGAAGTCCTCCTGCATCTCTGAGGATGAACAATGTGGTGCTCAGACTTTTCTGGTCTGGTCTAACACATTCGTAAAGAAGAAAGGAACAACGTGTTCCCAATAGGGCTGAACGATTAATTGCATTTGCGATAATATCGCGATATGAAAAAAACAAAAAATTTCAATCGCAGACGCTGCGATTACACCCGGTCACGTGACACGCGAGAGTAAAGAGGTGTGTTCCGTTTATAAAAATACCCGTGTACGTGTGGACATAGAGTAAAGAGGTGTGTTCGACTTGAAGATCGATCGGTGTATGACATCAAAGTATGGCGAGAGAAAGCATAAGGAGACGTCCGCTCTCTACTAGCTCTCGCAGTACTTTGATGACACACACCGTTCGGTCTAAGCAGCGCTGCTTCAAGTCGAACACATCTAAGCAGTCTTCAGAGGAAGCATCAAGTTGGCACGCTACAGTGCTGCCAAGTCCGCGGTTTGGGGAACTCCTCCAAAAAACGTGTATTTTACCCCCTGGTACGAGATTTTTACCGGTGGACCCCCCTCGAAACGCGATTGGGCTAGTTTTGTGTAGCGATTGGGTGGGTTTCGTTGTGAAAACCTGGCAACCCTGGCACGCTACACGCGGAAATGTTTTAAAGCGTATATAATGAACGTAGGCTACTTAAAAACGGCACATTGAAATTACTCAAGCGGTAACAGTGTTACGGTGCAT